GTCCTTTCTGAGTACACAGATGGCTGGGTAATAAACTTAGGAATTTTGAGTGGATAAGCACAAATTTGAGAGAACAAAGGAGACAGCTCCAAAATGGAGTCATTCTGAGAGAACAAAGGAGACAGCTCCAAAATGGAGTCACTCTGGCTCCACACCCCTGCCTTCTCAGAGTGAAAATATGTACCTGTATTTTATAGGCAGAGAATACTTAGCAAGAGAAATGGTACTTATACTAAGGTAAATGTATGTAAACATAAAGAAACATATTTAAAACATGGAGTATATGTCAATATAATCATATATAATAATGATATATTCACCAATCATGAGCATCTGTGCTTTTGTCACTTTGTTTTACAGTTCTGGGGCTCAAACCCAGGGCCTTGCATATGCTAGGCAAGCACTTTACCACTAACTATACCCTCAGCCCAACCATCTGTGCTTTTATGTTATCCATACTTAAATTATCAAATAAAGCAAAACTTTTTCTAGGATTTCACAAATTTTTATAATAGATACGCACTGTTAAGGCTTTGTTGTTTCAATGAATTTTTTTAAATGAGTTCCTTCTTTGTCTTCTATCTAAAATATACCAAGGTACACCCAGGCATGGTATCCCAAACCTGTAATCCAAGTCCTCTGGGAAGCTGAGGCAGGAGGATAGCAAGTTCAAGCCCAGCCTGAGTAACTTAGTAACTTAGCAAGACCCCATCTCAAAATAAAAAATAAAAAAAGGTCTGGGGATTTAGCTCAGTGCAAAGGACCTATGTTCAATCTCCAGTGGTGCAGAAATCCAATCCAACCAGTATGGTACTAGAGTACAGTAAAATAAACCAAGGCACAGTATGCTTGTCTCTGTTTAGCTTCCATTTTTTAGGATGTGGAGGATACCTTGGAAATTTTGTAATCTACTTTATTTTGTAGGTGAAGAAACTATTTTATTTTTATGACATATAGCCTCTAGTATATAAAGTCCTTTGCATTTTAAGACAAATAAATATTTAAGTGAACATTTAATAATACTAAATCCAAAGGTTTTTAAAAAATCACCATATGATCTTTGTAAACCTGGTTTCCTATCCAAATAACACAGTGTTTTATGTGATCACCATTCTCTTCTTTAAAATCTTCATTCTAAATTTAAATTATGTTTGTATAACTAAGTTCTTGCAAAGAAGCATCACTATTGGGGTTTATTTTATTAGTAATAGATCACTTAAATTTAGTTATTTTTTCTAAATATTGATTAGCTTGTCTAAATACCCCTTTTTTTCTGCCAGCTAACCACATGGATTTGGCCTCTTTTCTAGGTTGGGAGTGGGTTCCATGGGAAGAATTTCCTCCACTAGACCAGCTTTTCTGGGGATTGCGTTGTTTAAAGGAGCAAGGCTATGATCCATTTAAAGAAGATCTGAACCATCTGGTAGGATACAAAGGAAATCATCTCTATATGACCAAGAAGATACATTGATTAAAAAAAATAATAAAAAGACAAAAATAAGGTCAAGTTAGAGAATAAAAAATACCTACATTTCAGAACAACTCCATTTTATCAAAAGTTCCATGTGATTGTAGATTATTTGGATTCTCTTAATATACTCACCACCTCAAGAAAATCTTTCTGGAATACGTCATTGCATTGTATTTCGGGCATAGAATATATAATAAATAAGGATATTGTGGTTAATCTGCTTTCCATATTTATCTATGATGTTTGCTGTGTAGTTGTCCTTACAGCTTACTCCGGGTAGAGTGCAATAGGATTTGCTCTAGTGTTTCAGTTCAAATAAGATCCTACTCCAGATATCATAATGCAGATTTAAACCATTACCTGTTACAGAATTTATCATGTTTGTTGATGTTCCTTTTTTATTATAAGAGAACTGGCAATATATTGTGACGGTCTACAACTAGTGAGAACAGCCCAGGTCAGTATGCTATATATTTCCCAGATTTCTGAGTGATACCCTAAACTAAGAGAAGAGAGACAAATCATATAAGATCCATATCCCACCATCAACAGACCAGGTCACTCTGAATGTCTCACTTTGCCTGAGATACAGTGTCTTTGTACCTCTAGGGCAGCAGTCCTCTAAGTGTGGTCTGAAGGACTCCTCAAGACCCTTTCAGGGTATTCAAGATCAAAGGTACATATTTTTATAATCCTAAAACATTATTTAACTTTTCCACTCTCATTCCTTCATCCTCATATATAGGAGTTTTCCAGAAGCTGCCTGATATATGATATCATATCAAACAGAATACAATAGTAGATATGAGAATCCAGCTTTCTTCTACTAAGTCAGACATTAAAGAGATCTGTAAAAATTATAACAATGACACTCTTCTCACTAATGAATATTTTTAGAAAAATAGTTTCTTTTTCAGAAAATTGTAACAGGCATTAGATTTTCATTTGTAAATGATTAATGAACATTTAAGTTTATTTTCAATTTTTTGTTCTTGTTTTGAGATAGGATTTCATTATTTAGACCAAGCTGACATCAAACTTGCAAACCTCCTGCCTCAGCCTCCTAATAAATTTTTTCAGTTTATTTTTTTTGAGGGGAAAGATACTGAGGATCAAACTCAGGGACATTCTACCACTGAGCTAATACCCAACCTTTTTTATTTTGCATTTTGAGGCAGAGTCTTGCTATGTAACCCAGACTGTCCTTGAACTTGTGATTCTCCTGCCTCAGCCTTCTGAATAGCTGATATTACAGGTGTGCACCACCATGCTTGGCCAGTTTTAATTTCTCATATAAATATCACTAGATAAACTCTGCAATAACAAAATCTCTTTGTAATTTTTAAGAGTATAAGGCAATTGTCTTAGTTACTTTTCTCATTGCTGAGACAAAATACCCAGCACCCACAAGTTAAAGGAAAAAAGGTTTATTTTGGCTCACAGTTTGTAGAGATTTCAGTCCAAATTCAGCTGGCTCCAAGGCGGGGAAGCATGGCAGAGGGACATGGCAGAGGAGAAAAGTTCATTGCAAGGCAGGCAGGAAGCAGCAAAGCAGCAAGGAGCAATCAGCAAGACTGCTTTTACTAGCTGGGGATTTAGCTCAGTGGTTCTGCAGCCTGCCTTGCAAGCAAGCACAAGGTCCCAAGTTAGACCCCTGGTACCAAAAAAGAAAGGGGGGGGGGCGTGATTTAGCTCAGTGGTTCCACCACCTGCCTCACAAGCACAAGGTCCCAATTTCCATCCCTGGTACAAAAAAAAAAAAAAAGACCGCTTTTACCTTTTATCCCAACCAGGCTACAAGCCTTTTGGCTGGTGCCATCCACACCCAGAGTGGGGCTTCTGTCTTCAGTAACTCTATTCAACTGTGCCCAGAACTATGCTAATTCCAATCAGTGGACTATTTAGTACCACACATCATTAATCCCAGTATCACCATGATGCAGCCACCTCTCAAACTCCCACCTGTGAGTGCATGAGGCTTTGTGGGAACATCTAAATACAAGCCATAACAGGGGCCAAGACCAAAAATGTGAGACCTGCTAGATAGACAATAAACTCACATCTTTTTTTTATAATCCCAGTTTGATAAATTTCTATCCTTCTCTTGTTTAGGTTTTAATTTTGCTTTTCCAAAAGGCTCTGGTATTATTGTAAAGGAATCTTTTCCCAATAAGTGAATATCATTTTTCAGTTCTTTTGAAAGATGCTTTTCCAAAATTATATATGTATATTATATAATTTAACACTTATAAATATCATTTTTTATTGATTTTATCTTTATGTATTTTTGCCAGAATATTTGAAGAGTTCAAGCATGATAAATGTATACTCCTTGAACTTCTTAGTTTGATAATCAGAAGAAAAATAATGCTGAATACTAGCAATATTCTCATAAAACTAAATGTCAGCTAGAGTTCTCAAGGAGTACTGCATTCTACCAGGTTGCTGGTTGCTAAATTAAGCCCTGGGGTGTCAGAAGTCAAAAAAAGGCTGTGAGGTATTGTCTGCTCCAAGATAGGCAACATGTTGGTGTCAGTCATCCCAGTGAAGCATGACATGACTCCCCCTGCCTGGGCTTAGGCCCCTCTTTCAAGACACTTCTTTGTCATCTTGACTGCCAGCTTTCCAAACAAGGTAAATACTTTTAGATGAAATACTCTCTTCTTTAAGATACTAAGGATCCTAGTAAATAGGGATTATCAAGAAAGCTCAAGAAGTAATCTAGCATCCCAGGCTCCTAGGGCAGAAAAGCTCAGCCAGTCTCAGCACCCAGAAGGAAGCTCCTGACTTCCGTCCCAGGCTCCTAGGGCAGAGAAGGTGAGCCGGTCCCAACACCCGGAAGGAAGCTCCCATGCTGCCATCCCAAGCTCCTAGGGCAGAGAAAGTGAGCCGGTCCCAGCACCCGGAAGGAAGCTCCCACACCGCCATCCCAAGCTCCTAGGGCAGAGAAGCTGAGCCGGTCCCAGAACCCAGAAGGAAGCTGCCCTGCCGCCATCCCAAGCTCCTAGGGCAGAGAAGCTGAGCCAGTCCCAGAACCCAGAAGGAAGCACCCCCGCTGCCATCCCAAGCTCCTAGGGCAGAGAAGGTGAGCCACGTGGGCGCCAGAAGCAACCCCCCCCCATGGAAATGAGAAGACACATAAA